TAAATGATTGATTGATTGATTGACTGACTGACTGATTGATTGATTGATTGATTGATTGATTGATTGATTGATTGATTGATTGATTGATTGATTGAAGTTACGGGAGAGAGATAACAGGGCAGCTTGAGTAAAACAAGAGACAATGAAGTTATAAACCGGCCTTTGTATTATGAATACATAGGACAGCAACAAGAGTGTCCACTTCCATTAGTCCGGCCACACCAATGCGTCAACTTTTGAAAAAGCGCATAGTTTTTATGTTTCGCTCACGGTCCACACTAACCAATCGAAACCCCATCATCGAAAACGTTGTCCAGAGTAGAGACACTGGAAAACGGAGCTCTATCGTATTATTGCGGACAACGAAAACAGAGACTCCCGAAAACGTAGACACAACAAGCGCACGCGCAAATGATGGTTCGGCAGAAAAACACTTCTGATGTGATCACCGTTTGACCAAAATTTGCATCGCTTATAATCGAGTTCTGCACGAAAATATCTTTCAATGATACCCATCCCAGATCAGAGTGATTGGGTCAATTAAACTTGAAATATGCACGAAGATGCTTACGAATTTGAGAGAAAAACTCGGAGGAAAATTTCCCTCAACTACTTGGCTACTCCGTGATGAGAATTTCTCGTCCCGATCAGTGATCCGTTGACGGGAATTCCTGAACTGGAGGAATGCCCAGTAGAAGGTCAACAGCTGCAGCAAAAAGATAAGAAAAGGAGAAAAAGGAAAGATACAAAAAAAGAACGCGATGCTAGAGGAATGAAAGACATGCTGTCATGTTGTAAATGCCGTTTTGAGTAGATTGGAGCTAATTTAGCTAATATCCGGCCATGCTGAAAATGTCCAAAAAATGCGTTTTTGCCAAAGAGCTCCGGGTAGTCAATGCCATCTCCCATTTTCATTTCTCGTGGAAGACGACCTGAGTTTACATTGAACTAACCGGACTAAGTGAGAAGTTTGAGCTCAGTTCTACTCAAGTTTCAATGAGAGTTTCTGCTTATATTTTCTGTTCTCCACTTTTGACGTCGACAAATTTCATACTCCACAGAAAATTAGTGACTGAAGAACATTTTTGTACCAGGGAAATTAAAACTTAATGTTAATCGCCATCGAATGAACAACCTGATTTGAAATTGAAAGTTCATCAAGTTTGTAATTTCTCTTGCCAAGGAAAGACTTTTTTCATTTTTTCAATGGAAAATTACAATTAATACTAGAGCCAGCAAAATTGACACTAAACCTGGGTTAGATTACGTTTGTTTTGAGCGTGATAGACGCTTGTATCAGTTACAAAAGTGTTCGGCGGCGGATGATTCAAACTAAGCTTAGGGCAGCGTATGCGACTGTCGCGTATACTAAGTTTAAACCAATGACTACGTTCTCTGAGGCAGCTTCCAAACTACATCGGAGAAATTAATTTTAAAATGCAGCTTCATTTCTACGGCTTGGCCTACCGTCCACACTAATTCGTCTCGAAAACAGGCTTTTCAAAAACGCTCTTCAAACCGGAGAAATATAAAAACTCCGCCGGGCTTTTCGTTTTCGTGTGGACGGAAAACATTTTGAAAATGGCGTCACGATAAAATGTAACTTCCCTGAGTGACTGAGCTCGAGTTTTCTTCAAACACAAATCCAAAATGGCCAGTGTTTTTTGCGTAGTGTGAACTGAAAACATTTCATGCATTTTCCGAGTGAAGCCGATCCGTTTTAAAGCCCTGGCCAATTGGACTCACAAGTAGACGCAAGTTGAAAACTTGGGTCTGCTTGCGACTCCGTTTGGCCAGGGCTGGCGTACACTTGCGTTGACTTGCGATGCCTTGGGCTCACTTTGGTCGAGATCTTGCAAATTTGCAAGCAAGTCGACGCAGGTTTTTCGCGGTCTGGCCACCCAGCCTAAGTCAACGCAAGTTGAGTGACGTCCATACGTTTTTATAGCAATCTATAAGCCAATGAAATACAGTCTTGAAAGCCTTGAAATGTTTTTTTTCCTTTTTGCGACTACTTGTGTGTCCGTTGAATTCCTCCGGCGTAGTACCAGTGTAAACGGGGCCTGAGTGCGACTGACCTAACCTACTACGTCAAGTTTAGCTTGCATGGGTAGAATGGGAAGACAGTTATCCACAGCGCAGCGTAAATCTGTTATTATTTAGTTACTCACCCTGTTCCCTTTCAGGAACGGCTTATCCCTGGCTTAAAAACAGAATCAGTAACTAGACAAAACAGGTTCGAAGTCGGCTTCATTTGATCCGAATAAAGTGGCAGTATTTCATGAAGATCAATAATAGCAGCCAAATGTTTGGAGAACATTTTAATTACTAAGGAAGAAAAATATATTTAAATTTCCTTTCCTTTCGAGACTTTTTTCTTTTGTACTTTTAATTTAGTGTCGAATTTTTCCGTCCCGCGTGCAATTAAGCCCTAAACATATCTTTAAGTACTCTCGGCAACTATGTCGTATGCTTTTAGAATCATGTCTCGTTTACTTTCCTTAAAATGTTAAAGAGCCAATCAAATTTTATGCGGTTACGGCATGTCGACAAACAATTAATCTGATCAGGAAACACAGAACAGAAGGACATCAAATAACATATTTGCACGCAAACACGGACAGCATTTAGATCGTGCAAATGATTGCCGGCGCTTTTAAAAACGTTGTTGAAGTCGAAACGGGAAGATTTTCATTTGTAGTAAGTTTATCAGCTTTTGGTCTTTCCTATAGATGTAGCGTGAGGCGGCTAAACTGTAAAGACAAGGTAATTTTCCGTTCAGTTTACGTACATGTTAATTGTTCGGTAAGTTGTTTTTCTCGAATATGTTTACTACATACATGTGTTGGCCTAGTTCCAGTTCACGAGTCACTTCAGGTTTGAGGACACTGTGTGCCTAGGTGATGCAAAAACAAATCAATAATGAGACGCGGCAATTCATGCACGGAACATTAGATCTGGCGCGTTTTCTGACTTATTTATCGACACAGAAACAGATGATTATCCCGAGCACGTTCGCGATCAATTCTTCGATATTGACGAGGCTGGCACCTGCTTCTAATGTTTGCAGTTCAGGCGTCAATAACCTGCAAGAAGCCAAGTTTGGGGGCTCACGCAGGGGCGGCGAGACCGCTAGAACGAGTTAGGAAACTGGGAGCAAGGAAACTTTTACATTCTCGTTCCCAGTGTCGCCTGTCTCTCTTAGCAGGGGGGGCCTTGGTACAAGAAAAACTGAGGTGGTTGGCTAGGTTCTTGGGCTAAGATTTTCCTAATCCAATACAGGTTTCCTTCCCAGAATTAAGTACTTGTTGAACAAGGACCTTCAGGAAATTCAAAACTGGCAAACAAGAAGAATTTTCAGTCAAGTCGTACATAACGAATCATATATATCAGAATGCAGCTTAGAGATCGACCAGTGGATATTTTTTAGAATAAAACCAGCTTCGAATCGAACTAGCGAGGATTATCTTAGATTTAACAATATTTCAAATGTAAAGAATGTAGTCCTCAAATTTAGCCGATTAAGTGTTGTGTCGTCAGCCACCATTTCCTCGTGCAAAGGCCCCTTCGGCTAAAAGAGACAGGAGGGCTCTGGGGACGAGAGTTGAAGCAGGAAACTGTCAAAACGCTTGCCCCAGATTCCTTGCGACTCCATCGCTCACTACTTGCGATTGAAGTGCAGGCTCCTCTTTTCCGAACTTGCTTCAATTTTGATGCGATTTGTCTAGAAATCAGTCTCAATTCAATGGATATAAATTTAAATAGACCTAGTACTTCTAACTCAAAGGACCTGTTATCGAAGAAGAGTGAAAGCAGTACATCGTATTCAGTTTTGTGCCGGCCTAGCTATTAAGTAGTCAAACTGGACAGCAAATCCTGCCTTCGTGCAAAAGGGTGTTAAAAGTTAAGGTTTTACACTTTGCTTTACTCGCTAGAAGGGTGTTAAAGAAGAAAATTTTTTTTTTCCCGGAGCCTGGCAACCAACACGTGAACGGAGTGAGATTATATTATTCAATGTTTTCTATTTTCCTTGTTCGTTCCATTTATATTGCGTCTAGCTGTCAGCATTGTGTTGGCTGTTTTTATTCAACGTTTGCGTTTAATAAATATTAATTGGCAAACTTCAAAACTTCAGCCCGCAATTGTTTTAGAGCACGTACAAAATTCAAATCTATCAATCCGGGCAGCTGTCAAAATCACACAAAATTTAATGAAACGATAATTTGTACACAAACGAAAGATTTGTTAAGAAAACTTTAGACTAAAATCTCTTTGTTATGCTCTTGAGACTTGTTTTAACTTTCGCGGTAATCCATCGCTTTTGATGTTAGCCTATCGACGGGGGGTGATCTATATTAAGGAGGCATAATTAATTGTCGGGATGTTAGGCAAAAAGGTAATGATTGCGACGTTGATCTAACAACAACGACGAAAATTAATCATAGTTTGTCCGTTTTTGCCGTCATAACTGCTAAGAAAATGCCCAAGTCGCTCGGTTGGTATCGCTCAAAGTTAATTAAGTAATCTTGCGCTATAGATTTCGCCTGACGTGGTACACGTCAGGAATTTAGCAAAGGTTTAAAAGGATAACCGCGTCAAGAATTTTCTTTAGTAGTCTAAATACTGTGGAACTTCGCATAAGTTTCGCATTGGAGATAGAAGAAAGTGAAATGGTTTCAATTTCGTCACTTTTCAAGGCCGACGCGGCCAATGTCAAAATGACTCATTGTTTTAATTTTAAAATAACCTCATATTTAAAATTTTATGTTTGCAGTTTTAATCTTCTAAATTGCCGCCAAGTTGGACTATTGAATTTGACATCTCGCTTATGATTCCGGGTGCGCGGGGCTTATAGTATCATCAACTTTAGGTTTAGGATCTGGGCTAGTAAATTTTCGGTACAAATCCACCCCTCCTCATACTCCTGTTGATTGACTCTTCGACAGCGCGATTTCATGCCACGGCTCCGTGCAACTTCCTGTTTGAATTGCTCGAAAATTAACAAGTCTTGAAAAGTCAAACAAAGAGAGCGCGGGCCGAAATTAATAAAAGCACTCATTATATTTTACGAGCGAACTCATATGCATGGTCGCAACACAGGTGTTGCTAGAGCAGGTTGTTACTCATTCCAAGTTGGTCTTAATAATTTCGGTCCAGTTGAATTAGAAATCAGAAGAGGTCGCAATTTTAGCTCCTTGTGACAATTTCTCGAGGTTTGTTCTTCTCCGCCTCCGTAAAACGTTTGATTATAATTCTGTTGATCGTTCTGCAGAGGTAAACAATTTCGCTAAAATGTGACTTGAACGTAATCTTAGAGTCATCAAAACTTGACAGTCCGTTGAGTGATCTTTATATGGATAAGCCGATGTCAAAGTTGCCTTGCGAGACAATTAGCCTCGCTAACGCGCGTTCACAATAGAGAATCGTGTACCTTAGTTCTCCGGCAGTGTCTTTAGGACTCGTCACGACCGCCCAAAGTGAGTTCCGAGAAATGATCATTACGCTCGACCTTAGTTGGATCCCGGTTTGGATTCATAGCGTTAATACTATACTGGGATTAAGGTTTTCGCATCATTACCTTTGCCTGTTATTTACGCTCCACAGAGCTTTTGCATGGAGAAATAATTCCTGTTATTCTCAAATCGAGGTCCATGGATTTGACGAATTCAACGAACAGCACCAACTGCGTCGATCCAGCAAAAGATGCTTCGCTTTATACATCGCTGGTATTTTATTTTATCATCGCAGTCTTCGCCATTTTCGGGAACGGGCTTGTGTGTGCAGCATTCGCCACCAACAAACGCCTCAGGATTCTGACCAATTACTACGTCGTCTCTTTGGCAGTGTCTGACATTCTGGTCGGGAGCATCAATATTCCACTCTGGATGTACATCAATAAAGAGTAAGTGAAAACTGTTTATCTCTAAGCGCCCGGAGCGCTACAGACAATTATCTTGAGTGAAAATTAAGTATGTCCTTGCTTCCTTCATCGATCGATTTGATGTCCTTTAGGGACTTACGCCGGAAATGGGGACTGCTTTTATCGGATTTATTTTTTTTAGAAAAGGGACATTTTTTATTTAGCTCCTTGTCGTTGCCGCAAATGCTATCAAGCGAATTAAGTAATAAAAGAGGAGTGTGTACACGATCGACAATTGGAACTACCCTGACGATTAGAGCCCCCGAATATTGGATAGGGGACTGTATTAATATCTTGTCACGTTATTTAAGAGGGTTCTAATCTATAAGTTTCACATCAGCGTAGTTTTTACAGACAGGATCTTTTCCGTGGGTACTGATATTATACGTTGTTGTAGCAGGAAACTGAAGGAAAGCGACCGACAGATATTTCACACCTACAGCACTTAATTATATTCAAACGAGCGCGAATAAATTATACGTATGTACATAAAAAAAATCCCGCTAAAGAGAGAGAGAATCAATTATCGGCCTATTATCCTAGAACAGCAGTACATGATATGGACGAAGCATAAATCACGTGGTCCAAAAAGAGCAATTTCCACGTCTAAACAAATCCATAAGACGGAAGACTTGGAGACAATCTTTTCAGCGCCATCTGCGGCATGCAGAGTACAGTGATATTTGTTTACATGACTCCATTTCCAAGGAAGCCCTCTGTTCAATTGACCCATGCACATTTTATGCCCGTTTTTCACCTTCTGTTAAATTTACCTTAGTCCAGATAGAAATGGATCGAAACAGCTGAGATTAATAAGTCATATCAAAATAGGTTGAGTTACCAAGCCGTTGAGTTACCGAAAAGTGTCTATAACATGCAGAGATGGCGGTTGATTTTGACCTGTGTAAACATAATTTGTACAGTCTCCCACGACTGGTATGAACAATCTGTTTGATGTTTAACTGTGAAAGGGATACTTTTGGGCATGACTTTGGAAACGATCGTCGACTTAAAACGTGCGGTTTTTGCCCCATCGACAGCGGGACCTATTTTGAGCTCACAGCAGGTTTTCCCGAAAAAAAAAAGAAAAAAAGAAGCATATGCCGGATGGGGGTGGCTATTTAAAGAAAGGGTGACCTAAAAGGTGATAGCGAAAACTTTATCTCTGATTAATTAGAGAGACAACTATATTTTCAATGGCGTGGGAGGCGCAGGGGGCCTAATGATTAGATTTGGGCTTGTTATCGGGTGAGCCCCTGCTCAAGCGCTGTCGCTCTTTAATGTTCTTGCTATCTAGAGCATGACAATGCTGGGGCTTGGGAAAGGCGCATAACCTGCGACGTCTAAGCATCCCACGATCCGGGGAGAGAAGCAATTCTTACGTCATGAATTTGTCGTTTGCCTGAGGTTTGAGAACAGGACTCCTGACCCAATATAAACCCTCTTAGATTTCCGAATGGACCCAGCTGACATAAACAGAGAGCCGGAAGCCGGTGAAATGTCTACTGATTTTCGTGAACTTGTGGTTGAGAAGTCAGTTTCTGGTGCATTCTTTGACGTTCCCCTTTGTCACTAATCCGTGAAACGGTTAACATTTTTGGCTACAAAACCGTGAAAAGAGCACACATCTCAACGATTATTTTCAAGCTGTTCGTTATCTTCTCAGTTTTAGTGCCTACAGTGGCCGCCTACACGGTTTCTCGAAATAAACGTTCTGCTTACGTAATGCGTTTTCAAGGTCAAAGAGGTTTTGCTTTTTCGCCTGTGTCAAGTATAGTAACAAGCAATGAACTAACCGGACTCATATAGAGACCTAGTAGCTTGGCAGATTTCTGCAACAAATCTTCACAATATTTGAAATGCAACTCCATAAGACGACCGCAGTCTCAGATGGAAAAGCGTGGGGCCTGAGGCGAGTGCTGACGAAAGTTTTTCTTTGACGTCACTGATCAAAGTAGCGCTCAGGCTCCTCGCTACAAGAGCAAGGTGAAATAGCCAGGGAACTTAAGCTAACTTTGCAGGTGCGAACCCTTACAAGCGCCGGTTATCGTCTACAAAATGATTGCCATTGTTGTCTTTTGTCTTTCAGCTGGTGTTATTATTCCACGGATCTGTACGAATCTTACGTTATCTTCGATGTCTTGTGTGGTACAGCTTCCATTTGGAATATGACTGCCATCAGCATCGACAGGTTAGACAAGCAGTAGTTGAGGATCTTCCTGTTGTTAGTGGAATTCTACTAGTAAACTAATACAAATGCTGCAATCTGATTGGCTGAGCTACTCATAAACTATCAGCCATTAGTATAAATCTACTATCGTTCTGTCACGAATGGCGTTCTCTGATGGGCTACGCTACTCACTAACTACTCTGTTGTAGATAGTGAGTAGCGCAGCAGTGAGCGCTTGTTAACAAAATGGCTACCGTTTCTTTGCGTTTTCGAAGTGTCTGTGAGGAGGATTTAGATAAAGTTTTGAACGACCAGTAGATTTATGCTAAAACTATTAGATTATTCGCTCTCGATTTCTATGTGTGATAGCAGCCCGAGTCAACTGCCGCGCGATAGAAATCTCTAGCTCATAATCTAATTGTTAATTAAAATGCAGTGGCCAGAGCTCGTGCATATAATGGCAACGTTTTTTAGCTTATATAGTGTTTCTAGGAAGATTTAGAAATATTGCTAGAAATATGAATTCTCACGAACCGTAAAGACAGGAAACTGACTGTTATGCGACCTTAAAACCTCAAACTTTTTCAATGTACCGATGAGCGCGCGTGTTCAAATGCACAAGTAACAATGCAATCTGCGCTATTTTACTTAAGCATCAAGTCTGATCATTACTACGTTGAGAAATGATTGGAAGTCTACTAAGACAATCAGATTATTCGCTCTCGATATCTGTGAGGTGATAGTTGATTCTGCCTTCGGTTTCATCAACTATATCACCTCATAGAAATCTCGAGCTCATAATCTATTTGTTACTTATTAGATACTAGCTGTGCAGTGCGTGTTCTTGATTTGTGTAGGTAATTCCTCATGTTAGTGCGACTAAGGATTTATATTGCGAGTCATATTTGAAAATGACTTCAAATTGCACGTGCCCTTAGGCGAATTAGGCGAAAGAATTTTTAAATATCACAAGAAGTGTAAATCCTTATGTGCTCTAGCTTTCATATGATTGCTCATTTATTACATGACGTAGCAAATGACGAGCATGCCGGCATTAATTTGGACTTCAGTGCAAATTTTAACGATAAATTGGCCTGTTCTAAACCAGTCACAATGAAGTAATATTTCTTAAAAATATTGAAGGGCCACAGCCAGAATAAAGCATGTTAAAAATTTAAAACGATCTCTGGCTGAACGATTACAAAATTACAAGTTTTCGACTGCCTGAACTACAGTCTTCGACTGGTAAAATGTCATTCACATTTTACCCGTGGAAGACTGTAGTTCAGCCACTCCAAAGCTTGTAGTTTTTTAATCGTTTCAGCCAGAGTTCGTTTTAAGTTTTTACCAAGCAATATTTCGTTTCCTCTGCACGCAAAAAAAATAAATCGAAAACCATTCAGTGGAGGAAGACAGGAAAATTTGACGTTATAGGTGATAAAAAAAGAAATCACTTCTCTAAGTTTTAGTTCTGTGCGTTTTCCAAAACATCAGATATTTTTCAAAATGTTTTCACAAATTTACAGAGTCCAATATGGAGCCGCGATGTTCGTGTGCCTTTCTGGAAAACCAATATGGCGACCAGTAAACAGTGTAACCAACTTTGGTTTTCTAACCAACTAATCATCTCTACTGGACAAACAAACATTTACGTAACCGCTTTACCCACTACTTAAACTTCCCAAATGGCTAAAAATCACCTGATAAATATCTATTTTTATGACAAACGCGATCGTAACTTTCTGCCAGGTACCGCAAAATACGCTGGTTTCCACACAAAGGACGCTGTTGAGCTGAAAAGTTTTGGATTTTAGAACGCGATCACGTCACGTGAAAACGATCTATGTTCTCAAGCATATAATAAAGCGTGAATTTTCTTAAAGTTCTATTCCTGTGTTTATCTGCAGGTTTGCAGCAGTGGTTTACCCTACAGTTTATAAACATCGCATGAAGAGCACACAGGTCGCTGGATGGACAATCTTGTGTGTGTGGGTTTTCGCAACGTTCGTGGCCGTGCTCCGACTTGAAGTTCAAAACTTCAACTATGCCATGTTTGTTGTAACTCTCAGTTTCTTTATACCCCTGTTGATAATTCTTGTATCTTATGGGAGCATTTACCGCGTGGTCAGCTACCGCGCAAAATGGACTGGGTCAGTATTGATGGAGATCAAACTGGCGCGAACTCTCTCGATCGTGATTGGTGCGTTCATTCTCTGCTGGGGGCCGTTTTTCATCCTTAACATCGTGACGTATTACTGCAGGACAAGCTGCAACTTTGAAGTAGCCGTGAGGGTGATTAAGTGGCTCCAATACGCAAGCGCCTGCATTAACCCAGTCATATACACCATACGGAATCGTGAGTTTCGTTTCACGTTTCACCGGTTGGTCTTCCGCTGTAAATACAGAAATGGCAAGTATGTGTTTAATCCCCAAGTGAAGCGTTCAACGCAATGTGGTTGCTGTCAGCTCGGAGGTCCGTTAGATGCGGATTTTGGCGAGACTCGATCGCGGTATCCGACATATACCGAAGACGTTTCGATTTACAATTCGAACCGTCGACCTCCATCGGCGCCTTCCAAAGTTCAAACGATACCACTGGGCTTTGACAATTTGTCTGCGTCAAAACAGTAAGAAAGTAGTGGCAAATACCCGACAAAAATCCCTTGCTTTGTCCTTCCGTGTCTCCGTCCTTCAAGAAGTAGACTCATATATTATACTCAAGAAAAGAAAAAGAAAAACCAGACGACATAAAGAATATGACCTTCCAATCCAATGACATGAAAATGCACAGTCTGATTGGAGTTCTACTTACGTGATGCTTGCTCGCTGCACTGCAGTAAGCCTCCTTAAGACAAAACAGTGAAGACCTTAGATGCCTTTTGATTCAACGAGTAAAGTATTTTTGTTTTACTGTTAGTTTCAAAGCTAGATTTGCATGGACAGGATAAGGTAAAAAACCTGCGGAAAGTTTGTAATTCTTTACAAGATTTTGTAGTCTCGTTCAAAGACTAGTTTCACTATAGTTAATAACTCTGGAAAGCCCACTTTCATAACACGCATTCGCGTTTAGCGCACAAGTAACAAAACCATTTCATTTCGCTCGGGTTTGTCGTTTCCAGGTCACGTATACTAAGGCAGCGTCCACACTACCCCGGAGAAATTTGAAAACGCCGTTTTATTACTTCGGTTTGGCGTACCGCCCACACTAATCCATCACGAAAACGGAGCTTTCGAAAACGCTGTTCAAACCGGAAGAATTTGAAAACGCCGGCTTTTCGTTTTCGTATGGACGAAAAACATTTTGAAAAAATAACTTTTCCAAAACGACGCAGTCACGATAATAATTTGATTTCCCAGCCCGAGTTTTCCTGGAACACAATCCAAAATAACCGGTGATTGTTGCGTTTTTAAATTCCCGTAGTGCGGACGCAAAACGTTTGATGCATTTTCAGGGTGAAAGCTCAAATTACTCATGCGTAGTGTGGATGGGGCCTGAGTAAATTTAAGAGAACTGTGACTACAATTGATTGCGACATCCCTGAAGCTCCTTATCTTTATCCTCGAAGTTGCTAAGCAACATCACTTCGTCATGTTGGCGTGACTGTTTTCTGCATATAGTACTTGGACTTTGGTTTTGATTCAGTGGATGGAAAGAATCAGACAATCTTCGATCGGAGGCTTTGACGAAGATTTGCCGGGAACAGCATCTATTCCTTCGATCGAAATAGCGACGTTTTGATGTTGTCTCTGTTTTCTGATGAGCGAAAAGAATTCGCAACCTTTGGGAAACGTTCGAGTATTCAGGTCTTTTGTCCGACAACAAGCAGAAATTGTAAGATAGATTTAAGATATTGACGCAAGAGAGACGGCTCTGGGCCAGTCTGAGCGTTGCAGTAGAATATGGTCTCCAAGAGACTTCATTCAGTCTTAAGACTCAAACCCTGGGTACATTTTATAATGTAAGTAACATAGCTGTTCATCTTTTAATTTCTCCCTGCTTGGCATATGTACAAATTAAACAATGGTAAGAGAAAATCAAAAACAGGAAAGGGGTAGTTTTTCCACAGATTATCTCCTCTTATTGTAGGATCCGTCAGAGCATTAGGCTCCATTTCCGCCGCTCTCTCGAGTCCGATCCACCTCCCTCCCCGAAAAGGAAGAAGAAGCAGTGTGGACTCCTTTCCCGAGCAGCGACTGGTAATCGACCCTATGAGAGGATGAGCAAACAAGTGACTGTGAACAACTGGGAAGAGGGGACGCTGATGGAGTAACATCAAGATAGCTTTCATCTCTAAGTAGAAACCAATCTATACTGCTACTTGCTGAGTTTTATAATTCGTAGTGAGTCCCAATCGGAGAATTTGAGCCTTCGTATCGATCCCTCTGTATTTCCATATTGAACCCTGTAATTTTTTTTTTTTTTTTTTTGGAAAACTTACAGTTTGTTTTAACCAACTCAAAATCTTGCAGATGTTAGGTCGGCGGATTAAGGTACGAAATTCAAACTAAAAAGCTCCCCGGCTTAAAGGGGGTCTCCCAGAACGGTTCAGTGGTTTTACGTCATTGGTCCAAATTCTCTAGGTGATGGTTTTAACCTGCCTTGCCAGTGGTAAGTAAATAAGTCATTATTTTGATGTTTCCGTCACTCACCGTCGACGGAGAAGAATAGTTCCCTCAGAAATTAAGTGACTTTATTTTTACTTTTTGGTTTGGCAAAAGTCATCAGAAAACTAGTGACAAGATTAATAGTTACATATAATATTGCCATACTTAGTTTTACGTTTCCTTCTTATATAGAATAAGGAAAAGTTAATTACCTGAGAGAAAACCACAAAAAGAAAATGAAAGGGACCCTGAAACGGATAATATTTCTTATTAGTAACTTGCGATAACCATACAAAAGCAATGATCTTTAACACTGCTAAAGGCGCAGAAACAAACGTGTCAAATGAGGGAACTAAAAAGTCAACTCTACAACAAACTATTTAAAAAAGCTGTTGCAGAGTCATGCAATCTTAGGTAATAAACGACTGGTCATACAACGATTGAAACAGAGAGTACTTAACGAAAACCACGACGACTGCGGCAACAAGAACGTGACCAAACTAACGGTTTATTTAATGAGCAGGAGAATGGCTATGAACGTGCATTGTAGATCTTTGTATGTTTCGTAGCCGTCCTCTGCAATCCAGCAACGTGAATTCAGCAAAACAATTAACAAAAGAACTAATATAATCAAAACAGTGACAATTAAAAAATCTTTATTAGAAGCTGATTCAGTTATCCTGCATGATCAATAAGTAAAATTTCTCAAGCATTTCGTACACTGATGATTATGAATGATAATAATATATTTCCTTCAAAATTTATGTCATAATGACAAATATTGCAATTTTAGAATCATTTTAAAAGAGCTGAACAGTCTGTTACCAGGCTCTACTCTTAATTTAGTAGCGCAGTTTCTCACGCGCTGCCGTGTTCGTGCACGCGCATGTGTCGATTCAAATTCCCCGACTGTGAGAACTTCAGCTGACATATCTTGCACTTGTATGGCTTCTCGCCAGTGTGAGTCCGCAAGTGTTTGGTCAGCGTGGAGCTGTCTGCAAATCCACGGGCGCACATCTTGCATCGGTAAGGCCGCTCACCAGTGTGAGTGCGCATGTGCGTAGTAACTGAGGAGGACTGAGCGAACCTATAGAGATAAAACAAAGTGATAATGTAAAGTTTTGTGTTCATATTGGGAACAAGCTTGGACAAAACAAGAGTGCGTTGTCTAGATAAACAGACTCATAATAACCGTCATAGACAATAGCCTCTGTTTTACGCGAAAATGTGCTCGTATATTTGTCCACGCGGACATTATCTGTTCCGAGAAGCGAACAAAATTCCGACCGATAATGTCCAAGGAAAAATTTTCGACCTTTTTTTTGCGCCAAATGAAGGCAATTGCGTTAATTATACTTTCAGTATATTTCGCAACACGCGCAGTTTTGAACCGCGGGGATGGGGAGAGGGGGGGGGGAAAGAATATTTGATGGATTATAAATTTAGATGTACTTTGAAATACGTCAATATATCGTCCCTATATACACGTATCATAAACGTTTAATTATAACGAGACCCCTTATATTTCTATACTAAAACAACAGAAGCACAAAAAGTTAACTGCAACAGAGAGTGTAGGCCCTGCGGACCTGCTTTACCGTACCTTCGATCGCACACCAAACATTTAAATGGCTTTTCGCCCGAGTGGATTCGCAGATGGGCTGTTAGATTGGCATCCTGAGAGAATGACTTCATACAGATGTGACACTGGTATGGCTTCTCTCCTGAGTGAGTGCGCATGTGTGTGCGTAAGGTGGAAGGGCGGGCGTACACCTTGTCACAAAGGCGGCACTTGTTTGCTTTTGTCCCAGGCTCATCCGAACTGTCATTTTGGGATTGGACTGTCTCTTCTTGGAATATGGGCCCTGAATAGAAATCCTGAGGACATTCTGGGTCATCCGGGTTAGGTATTGCATTGGACAGGAAAGCTGCAGCATCAACATTTGTGGTCTAAAGAAGGGGAGAAAAAAAACGTCAAAAACAAAAATAGTAAAGCTTTTACCGTTTGCCATCGAATTTTCAAAAGTGTTCAGCGTTAAATTCCTAATTTGTAATCAACACATCGACTTGCAGAAAGGTACAGTTCGTAAGGAAAGTAGACTCAAATTCAGAATTCAAATCACCAACTGAATACTTGTGATACGTGCTGTCTCCAAATTATGAAAACTTACATGGATAGGGATGTGCGACAATCGGTAAGGAGAATTTTGTAGTTTAAATTGAAACAAGGTCTCTATTAAAGTTAGTCTTTTTTGTGCCGCAATTTTGTTATCGTTATATTTCATTGATAGCTTGTTTTAATCTGACCCTTGTACATAAGTTTGGCGTAAATTTTATTTATAACTTATTCGTTTTCTTCTTACAAATAAACTAAACTTTTGACGCTGGTCCTGATGGACTGGAGAGAATTAGGTGAAAATTCAAGACCTATCTGTCGAGTGTTGATTTATAAAGTCTTTCATCCAATCAAAAAGCTGCGCCAGCTTATTTTTCTTGTTGTCATAACAGCATGACTAAATGAGAGTATGTCATGTTGCAACCCAATCTGATTTGTGCATCGTTATCAAGTACTTAAATGCTATTGGCTTCTGACTTTGATGTTCAGCGATAATGTATGAAGTGTTTTCACATGACGTCATGCCAGCCATATTGGTGTCACAAAACAATGAAACGCCAGCCATGTTGGTGTAACAAACCAATCCTGTAGGAGTTGGACACTCTTCTTTTGTAAACACTTTCTTTTGTTATAATAAATTTACATGGTAGCTGGCCACGCGAGGGAAACTCTCTATACCGGAGGAAAAAAAGAACGTTATAAAAGCTTACAACTGTTGATAATTACAAACCTGTGGTTGCACAATGGTAGGTTCACTTGTAGAAGGGTTCCACTGCGAGATTTCCACTGGGTTCCCCATTCTAGCGCTCCTCTCAGCGGCCGCGTGTTTAAGGGACAAGAGGATCCCCGCTGCATTGAACCAGGCATCTGCAGGGTCGTCTGACACCGGCGGTTGCCCTTGAGAGAGAGGACTGGGAAACAGAATGAGAGGAAAAATATCAACTTAGTACCCAGGCGTTCCTTTCCAGCTCGCTCGATCAATCTTGTTCCCAGGCAATCTCTCCTTTGCCACCCTTGTCGTTATGACAAAGGAGGCAAAGGAGAGAGCCTGATATCGAGGTTGCTCACTCTCTTTGGTGCGAAATTTGCCTGACGTCATCAACAAACAACTCGTTACCAGGTCCCGTTACGCGCACTTCGCGCTCGCTTAGAGAAGATAACGACTAAAGATTTGCCTGAGAAAAAGAGCGCACAGTTACACAATGTACTGGTTATGTTTTTAAAGAGCACGTCAGAGTCATGCATTCAGTTCTCCTCTCAACATTTGTTCTTTCACCGGGACGCAATTCACTTTAAAGGGCAAAAACCATTTCTTGAAGCCATCGATATGTAACTGAGATCTTGTAAGGTTCGACTATCCCCCAATCTGTAAAGGTCGAACATACAGGGGATCAATACTTCACTTGCAACCAAAATAGCGCTCGTCACGGCTTTGGGATGTTGCCGCGGGAAGAAGATCTTGATTTCGCAACACGAAAAGAACAAAGCAATAAGCCAAGTCACGATCAGTTTTTCTGAACGTATCAGTTTCAGTAGAACGATCGAGTGAAATAAAAGAAAGAAATCGCTAGATGCTATGTTAAATTAACCATTGCTTGTTAACTTCTGACTCTGAAATACGGCGTTTCGTTTTCTTTTCTCGCCTGATTCGCGTCATCTTTACTCAATATTTCGTTGGGAACCGTGTTGCGATCTCATTAGAAAAGTACGACTGGCAAATTGTGCTTTTTTGATTTGGGTTTTCAACCAACCAAATCCTTGAGAAAAACAACAGAAACCAAGATGTAGCCCGATTTTATGAAATAAACTCTAAGGGGATGCCAGAGAAATGAATCATTCAGGAATTAACTCAAGCAAGCATGATATTTCTTAACATACTATTTCTTAACAGCAAAATTTTTAAAGGGAGAAAATACCTGAGTAATTTCTTGTGTTTGAATAGTTTTAATATACATTGCGAACCTTCTTGAATCGCCCGGGTGTTTTTTTTTTTTTTTTGCTTTGCGAAATCGACTTAAAAATTAAATAAAATCAGGAGCGTTTCTCCTTTTTAGAGCATTAATCAATTGAGAAATTGATTTTTTTTGCGTTACCAACGACGAAAAAAAGTAACGAAGTTCATTTATGAGTTCTGTGCGGTTTAACGAGCTATATACCCACCAGCCCTGAAATCTTTAAAGTCGACGACGCCAAAAAAGAAGGAATTCTACAATTTTTCAGATAAATGCCAAAATAAAATAAAATGCCTAATTTCGAAAAAGATGGTTTCAACATTTCATAGTAGGAACGAAAAAAAGGCAGGTCGGATCACAGATGCAGTTGGTTCGTCCGTCTCGGAAAAAAATGGCGCAGATATTTCCAAACGATGCGTTTAGTCTGTTTTTCTTGCTATCATTGTTTCGGAAACTTTCCCTTTTCTTACCTGATATCTGCGCTTTCACTTTGATTCAGTTGGTTGTCTGCTGAGTGTAAGATTTGTTGAGGACCACATTCACCTTCAGTAACATCCGAGCCTCCCCAAAGAGAACCGCAAGGAACAGGACTGAAAATCGCTCTTGGCAGAGGGTTGTTATTTGAAGCCATCGATATGAAACTGAGGCCTTGTAAGGTTGGACTATCCATACCACAACAGTCGAGCAACGAAGGGAAACGATGCCTTGAATCTTACTAGGAAAAATGAAATTGGAGACTTTTTGTCGAAGGACACACTTTGCCCTCGGGCTCCAAAATATCGAAGCAATGCACTTAGAGCCGGCTAGCTCCTCTTAAATGGGACAAGATGGGATAAGTGAAAATGTTGAATTCACATGCAAATATTTAGTCGCGTCGGTAACCTTTAATGCGATTCTGAAAGAATGAGAGAGTGATTTGATTGGTTGACACTCCCTGACTGATAGGTTCGACTCGCAATTTTCTGGCTAAGCAATGCAAGATTTTAGTCGAGAAACTGTTCTTGTAAGCAAAACATTATTGATCTATCTTGGTACTTTGTGAAAAATAGTACGTTTCGTTTCACATCTTGTCGCATGTTGTCAAAGAACCAAATGCTTAATAAATAACCAGGAAATTACGCTAAATACAATTGCAGTTTTTTCGGTGTTTTTGATCATCTTGCGACAAGGCAAAAAGATTCAGTATTTTAAACATCCACCTGATTGGTCAAGTCTTAAACCAATCAAGTGAACCGTTACATTTGGACCACACCTTCTCGAGTTCTGGAGTTAATTACATCAATTATTTGTTTCCTTTTTGAGATGCCCACTAATCCAGTAATCCGTTTAATAAGCAGTGGAGCCTCCCTATCTATAGAACTCAAATCATTTTTCCTTGGATACACTTTTTCAGTCACTTGCTATCTATATAGGTATGTGCGGCCCAAAAGGTATGGTTTTTCAGCAGTTTTAGTCAAAAATAGGGCATCGATTCTGGCCATTTTTGTCTCAAATAGGGTATGGTTTTTGCGCTGTACTCTTGAATTGGGTATGTTCGTTTAGAAGAAGCTATCCTGCATAAAAATAGCATATAAACATCGCCTTTAATATTGGTCTGAACTAGGGAACGGATCTGAAACAGGGTATTGATTTAAGGGTCAGGTCATAAACAGGGTATCGAATTTTGGTCAGGTCATAAATAGGATAGGGAGAATGGCAGATTCTGGCCTTAAATAAGGTACGAGAGTACCCCGCGAGTCTCGAACCCCCGGCATCTCGCACTATTTTTAGTTTCCCTTTAAGAGTTCTAGATAGCGGTGTTCAAATGTATTTGGACGAGGGGCAAAATCATGTGTTATTATAGACTGAACGAAGTTAATAGATCGTCAATTAGACTAGACCAAGTTAAAACGTAAAGTAGTTACATTGTGCCTTTATTTCTTGTAATACGTTAATTAGAGTTAATTAATTTACTTAGTTAACTGTTATGTGTTACCAACGCCGACAAAAATTGTCGACCATGCATGCAATCGTTAGGGTGCGATGAATGCGCTGGTTTCTAACTGCAGTTGAATGCGAAAGTACATCGGTTGCTTTTTATTTTCGATAAAAATCTTTCAAATAGCCAGTCAAATTTTCGCGATATTCCATGCATCACGCAGCAAAACTGAGAAAAGTACAAAAGCGTCCAGTCCAAAAATTATGTTTTATTGCCGATAACACGGTGTAAAAACAATATGGAATTTTCACCGGTTGTCGCCACTGTTGTCACCTCTTGTTCCCTTCTGTGGATTAACTTTCAAGGGTTAAACTTTCGCCGTTGAACGATACGTGAAAGAAAGATCTACGCAAAAGTCTAAGGTATACGAGTGTTTGAATCATTGCTTCTCTTATTAACACACGCAATGAAATTGACTTGCAATACACTTAACTGAGGGAGAGCAACTGTGCGCGTTTGTTCCAAGCCCTGAAAAAGAGGGCATTCCCTCAGGCCACTCCTGCGTGCATTCGCGCATCTTCTAAATTCCCGGAGGTTGCCTATGGAATTTTTCTGTCTGGGTGAAACAAAAGCTACACAAAACTATACCTAGAATTTTTTGAAAATTTCAAATTCGGATTATGGAGAAGGAAAGGTAAATGCCAGAGAAACATATACAAGTACATCGCTTCTTTTTTTACAACCTTTATTGTACCGTTTTACATTTCATGTTCCTACTCAAAGACCAACTTGACATCATTACTTTTAAATAGCATTACAGTACAGTTCAATTAAGTTAATTTAAAACTTGCCTTGGACGGCCGTACAAATAAAATACTACAACTATTATAGTCGTTTAAAATTGCTCACGACACGCAAATAACTTCAATGACCAATTTGCAAGTAATTATATTACTTAAATAAATCATGGTCCTGTCACTTATTAGTAACATAAAACTTGACTTCAATGAACGCTTTCTGAGCAGTTCTTCAATGTGCTTTCGGCTGTATAACTGCGTTTTACGAGCTCCACGATTCGTCAAAAATCGTTTGTAGAGTGTCGCAATCCGGATGCTAGGGGCAAGCGCCCATACGATTCAACACCAAATCGACTCGTGAGTTGGGCTGATCAAAACTACTCTAAGTTGATTTGTCTCATCACCAAGGAAAATGGTTTTTGATGAGTTTCAGTTCACGAAAGCCACGCGAAAACTGCTCAAAATGGAGTTAAATGATAACTATATTTGCGATTAACTGAGTTAACAAATACTTCAAAGTAAGATAATAATATGCAAAGAAGCGATTTCGACACAGATTCGACCACCAGACTTCCTGGTCAACAGTAAAACTCTCCTAAAAGTTTTCCACTTATTTCCTATACTCTTCTTAGAGGAATTTGGTTTCAGGTTACAACCCATTTTCTGATATGAATACATCCTTCAAGTTCCTAACATCCTACTCGAAATTCTTACCTAAATTTAAAGAGATTTAACGTTCGAAGCTAAGAGTAAACGGGTTTACAAAACGGCTTCGGTTAGCAGGGACGAATTACATG